TTTAATAGTCCTATCACTTAGCAGTGTTTAGCACACAGGACATACAAGGTTTTTGCACAAAAGAAGTTCACAATACATTAGGGAGATTATTAGAGAAGTATCCAGAAATAGTAAAGTTGCTTCCCTATTTCTATAATATAGTCCAGCAAAGGCCCTTAGAAGGAGACAGTATTAGACCCATCATCTTTTCTCCCTTATAGAAACAACAGATATGAATGTAGTAAAAATTCCTATTCCATTTCTGTCTCCCAAAGCAGAGTCACCCAAGACTAGACTCAGTCAAGCTTTATCCAATAATTTTATAGAAGAAGACACCTTATTTACTTGCTAGGAAAAGAAGTCTTTCTTCAACTTAGAGGAGGTAATATCAACTTTGAAATGTAGAAACAAAAAAAGAAAGAAAAAAAAATGAAATGTAGATGGACACAATTATGGAATCAGGGCAAAATTTTTTCTTCCTACAGTCTCATTATATGTACTCAATTCCTGGCAATGCCTTATAAAAAATAAGGTGTCATTTTGAAAAAGGACCACACATTTTTCCAACATAGTATAACTGCAGAAGGTAAGTTCCTCTATAGACCACTGCAGAATGGGATGTATATTTGAGATATCACTGAGGCTCCAATTTCTATCAAAACATAAATTTAGATCCACTAAACAATAAACATTTATAATTATGTTTATTTATAAACAATAAGTAAAATTTGCTACAATAGCAAGTGCTTCGATGAATAACTCACTATAAGCACTCAGTACTGCCAGGATGGCAATTTTTAGTGTCATTCTTGACTTAAATAGTCTTCAATCTAAAGTTACATCTATATGTCCAGCTAAAAGTAAAGAAATAAAAACAGTGGAGAAGGACAAGTTAAAGAAAAAGAAATAGAAAACAAACCTGAAAAAGTAAAATATTACATTTTATTTTGGAACAAATAGAGCTATCTTATATCACAAACAGTCCCTATCTTACATTATGAGCAAAGCTGAATTCCAGTCCATGCCAGATGGACTGGGGACCAAGATATAATAAACACAGCCAAAGAGACAGTTGAAGAAAACATAAAATAATTTGTTTATAAACTGGGGTAGAAAAGGCCATTCTAAGACACAAAATGTTTAAGTCATGAAGGAAAACACTGCCCAATCTGACTACATAAAAACTTTCAAAATCATAAAGTCACAAGTCAGTGTCAGTAAGAAATAAAATAGAAAAAAATATCCAGAATAGTAAAGAATTCCTACAAGCTGACAGGAAAAACACAAGTCAGTAGGAGGGCAGAGATCTTCATCTATTTTGCTCACTGCTGTACCCCTAGCATTTGGCACATAGTAGTCACTCAATAAATATTGTTAAGTAGGAAAAACGCTAATAAAAACAACAGTAAACAATTTTCCTCATAAAAGACATAAAAATATCCAGTGGTTGGTAAAGGTGGGTGAAAGGGTTGTCTTGTTTATAGTTAGTTAATGTGTAAAATGGTACTACATTTTTGAAGGCATTAAGTTTAAAATGTGGATTATCTTTCAACTCCAGAATTCTGCTTTTAGTTATCTACCCTAGAAAAACACTTATACATGCGTGCGTGCACACACACACACACACACACACACACACACACAAATGCATACAGGTAGTTACTATAGCACTGTCTATAAAGGAAAAAAAATTAAGTTAAATATGTATCAGCAGAAGAATGATTTAATAAACAACAATAGTATGAACTTTGGAAATCAATTCAGTGTCAAAAAGACTAAGATAGATCTACATATATTGATATGGAAAGAGCTCCAAGTGAAAAAAAAAACAACCTGCAAATATATAGTATGCTTTTATTTATGTAAAAGTTATTATAAAGCTACAAATTCTTCTATGTGCAAATATGAATGTAAAGTCAAAAAAAAAAAGTCAAGAAAGATAAATTGATAGACAGCAGAAGTCGCCTGTGGAGAAGGCAATGAGACTGGCTGAGGACCAAGGAAGAACTTCTGCTTTATTAAACTGAATTATTTTATAAGAAAATGTTCAGGCATTACTTATGCAATGAAAAACAATTTTTTAAGGGAAAGAAAAAATAATGTAAACACCGTTTAACTGATATGAAGAAAACAAGAACATATTTGGGGGATTAGACAAAAAGACAAAAATACCATTTTGGACATGTGAATTCTTAAGTCCAACTGCAAGTAGGCAGTTGGGCACATACAAGATTGGCATTTGGAAGAGGGGTCTTAGCTAAAGAAATAATCTGGGGAGTTGCTGGGATGTAGATGACACTTAAAGGTATAGGAGTGGTGTGGGTGACTTAGGGAGAAAACACAATGGAAAGAGCAGACAGCTCAGGATCAAGGAGAAAGAGCCAACAAAGGAGACTAAGAAGAAGTGGCCAAAGAAACAAGAGGAAAACTAATAAAGAGCCGTGTCATGGAAGCAAGAGAGGAGAGTGGGTAAGAAGTGGATGTCAAATGTTACTAAGGTCTTGATGAGGGCTGAAAAAACAGACTACCATGTTTCCCAATCTGATGGGACATTAGCAACTTTAGCAAGAGGATTTTGTCCTGGTCAGAGCATTAAGGTGGGAGTGGGCTAAAGAGTTTGTGGAAAGGGCACCTGGGTGGCTCAGTTGGTTAAGCGACTGCTTTTTGCTCAGGTCATGATCCTGGAGTCTCAGGATCGAGTCCCGCATCAGGCTCCCTGCTCAGCAGGGAGTCTGCTTCTCCCTCTGACCCTTCCCCCCTCATGTGCTCTCTCTCTCTCTCATTCTCTCTCTCTCAAATAAATAAATAAATAAAATTAAAAAAAAAAGAGTTTGTGGAAAGAAAAAATGTACATACTGTGTGCTGAAAGCTCCTTTAATGAGCTTAGCTGTGAAAGGGAGTAGAAAGGATAGAAGCAGAGAGGAGATATGGGGTTTAGAAGATAGGATTTTCAAAATGGGAGAGATTAAATCAAGTTGGAATACTGTAGGAATGGCTTTAGTAGAAAGACGAAATAATCAAAGGAAGAAGTTCTTTAGGACAGGAGAATGTGATTAGAGCACCTGTAGAGAGGTCTCTACAGAATGAAGGATGCTTCCTCTATCTAACAGGTGGGAAAGAGAAAAAGCTGAGCTCCAGATGCGGGTAGGTTTGTCGATTTGGGAGGTATTGAAATGAAGGAATTCCCTTCTGGTGGCTTCTGTTTTTATACTAAAGTATAAGGCATATCACTGGTTTAAAAAGAACACATGAGATTAGAAAGAGAGACAGTATGAAACAGTCATTTGCAGTGGGTAGGAAAGTGAACTTACTAGAGAAATGTTTAATATTGTTAGGCAATGCTGATTATGCACATGAGGTTGACAATTATGAATTCAGTGACATCATTCTGCCTGGTTTTCTGGTTTTCTCTAGCAACTCTCAGCTCCATGGTTCAGCTCTCAGGCTGGAGAACCTGCTTCAGGGCCACAAAGCTAAAAAACAGCACCCAAAATCATACACAGAATGGGGTTGGCAAAGACATGATTGCTAATGTTAAGCAGGAGATGCTGCAGCTTGGGTTACACCATTATAGTTCTGAATATCAGATGCCACACTAACAACTCCCCCACTGCTGCCCCTGTAACTTGATCTTGCTGCTAGAGGCTGATGCTACTTGGGGATTTATTGATAATGGAAGGGGAAGTTGCAGAGGACATGGTGAAAAGATCCGGGGGAACTGGATCAGCAGAGAGGATGAGGAGAGTGGTAAGGAAATGAGTATTAGAAGATAATGGATAACTGGACGTCAGATAGTAAATGAGGCAAACAGAGATGTGAGGCATGGTGGTTTAGGCCTTCTCTCTAAGGAGTGTAGATTCTGAAATCTAAAAGGTTGCAGAGTGGTCTTCACAGCAGCCTAGGTGCAGGAGCTTAAGCAGATTTCACATGGGAATTTGGTCAGAGAAGGAGGGGGTTGGCAGTGTGACAAAGCCTCCCACTGTTGCTGTGGGCAGTGTTTCATCTCTAACCCCAAAGGCATCACAGATTGGCAAAGCCTTGAGCAAGTTATTCTCTTTGAGTCTATATTTTCTCATCTGTAAAATAAAGTGAATAATATTCATCTGATAAAGTTGTTATGAGGATTAAATGAGATGAGATAGCTGTCTGGCAGAGAGTAGGTATTCAGTAAATGGCAGCCATAAGTGAAGAGTCATAACTGAAGCCAAGAGAATTTTCCAAGACAAGGTAGTGAACAGTACCAAAGCTGTTAGAGTGATCAGAAGGGTTCACATGGAGCACTGCAGGAAATAAGTTTATAGGGAAGATGAAGTCAGTTTTAGCCTCAGGTTACTTAACTCTCAATGACAGCTTTGCAGTATTCAGAAAGGCTCTAAGGAAAAGCCTGATTTATAGTCAACCAGCTCTAGAACCTCTATACCTTCCTAAATACAGGTTCTGAGCTTAGAAAAACCAGGTGCCCCAAACCAATATATTTCTACTGATAGAACCTTAAAGAAAAGAATAGGAAATCACTAGCTATTAATGCTGTCCAAGTGTCCAGTGTCCAAGAAGGAAAATGGCTAACTGAATTGTTGCAGGATATAGTTGGGGAAGAGGGGGCTAAAAATCATACATATCATGTCTTAAGTTATTTAATCAAAATAGCTTTAAACTCAGAACTGTAACAGGAAATTTCAATCTACTTTTTCCTCTGCTCTGCTCTAACTCTCGGGCCACAGGTCATTCAGACTATAAAAAGGTCCTACAAATTCCATAGAAACCTGATCAAGCTTACTTAACCTTTTACTAGGTAAATGGAATTTCAGCTCCTCTAATTGTGCATACCACTTGAACACGATGGCAGGGGATGGATCGGGGCAACTGTCAGGATTGTTCTCCCATATGCCTCAGTTATACTTCTCTTAATTATTTAAACAAAGACTACCATGAGAGAAACTGTATATTCTTTATAAACTCAACTCGACAAGGAGCCTAAATAAAATTTTCAATAAATCTTTTCTTTTCCCCTTTCATTGCAGGATAGAGAAACACCTTCTGTAATAAAGAAACTCACTCTCCCTTCTTCACAAATTATCCATTTCTTCAATTAACTAGACAAGACATCAAATACACAACTGCAACTTCAGCTCTGACCAACCTCCCAAAACACCTCTATTTTCAATCTTTCCCAGGCCCAAGGAGAACAGAATTCACAAATTATGCTAATACAAAATACGGGCTACTTTCTCAGAAAACTCATAAATGTTCAAATATATGGTAAGACCATTACACAAGCTCAACAAATAAAAAGAAATTGCCTGTTAGTGAAATAACAAAAACATCCACAAAAAAATATACAAATTAACTAAGATTTAAAAAGTTCAATCTGAGCTTTGGAACAGAGAAATGAAACTTCAACTGAAAAGCAAGAGAGTCTAGGCTTTGGAGTCAAACAGATTAGAGTTCTGTTAGTTCCATCACATTACTAAATGTGTAACCTTAAGACAAATTCCTTAATTCTTCAATTCTGTTTCCTCAATAAAACAAAGAGAATACTACCTATCTCCAAGAGTTCTTACAAGGATTAAGTAAAATAGTGTATGCAAGGCTCTAATACAGTGCCTGGTATGTAGCCGGAATACACAGCAGTGTGCTTCTCCTTCTAATTTAAAAGGCTTAATTAGAGACTCATTCATAAAGAAAGGACTTAAAGAACAGGGAAAAAATTGTTAGCTGGACAGAAAGGAAGAGCATATTCTTAGGTCCTTCAGATTTATTTCTAACTTTAAAAATAAGGATACATTTTTTTTAAAGTAAGGACAAATTTATCAGATTGTCAGTAAATTATTAATGTGAAAATGCATCATTGATTTTGGAACGCTTTTTTATATAAGATACTCTTCTTCCTTATAATTTTATAAATTTTTGAGGTTCTACATTTGTGCTTTTTTTTTTTTTTTCCTGTCTTATTTCTAGAATCCTGACTCAGACCCTCCTCACTTTGGTTTTGGAGCGACCTAAACCTTTGGCCAGATAGGCGTACCTTAGAGTTCACTAAGTATTCTGAAAGATTTCTGGGCAAAGACCAGAATCCAGCATCTAAAAATTTAGAAAGAATCAGTGTGGTATAATAAAAAGGACATGGGCTTTGGAAATAGGTAAAGGTTTAAAACAGATTTGAGTCCTACCTCTGCAACCTGCTAGATATATAACCTTGGGCAAGGCACTTTATCTCTCAGGACCTCATTTCTTTATCTGTAAAATGGAGATAATGCCACCTATATCTCAATATGTTGTTGTCAAGATTAGAAAAATGCGTATAATAATTCCTGGAATAGAAAAGGCCAATGAATGGTAAATCATATTCAGATCAATCTGCCAACAGTCTTACTGAACATTTTGTAAGGCTGTATTTTCCTAACTGGCAAAAGGAGTCATACTGTTCCCACATTCCCATGCCTATAACCAAAAGGTTCCATTTTAGTAATCTATAATTAACCAAATCAAGAGCTTAAAGAATTCAGGGCAAGAAAGAACTAACATGGCTCAACTCATTCTCTGCTGACAGAAACAAATCCAGTGTAAAGTGGATACGTTTGCCAAAAAAAAAAAAAGACTGCTTGAACATGGTCATTACCAATACTGATGTAAGCAAAAACGAGCTGCAGTTCTTGGGCTTGCAGCCTTACTGTCAGAAAGTTTTAACTTTCCTGAAATATATCCTCTCCTGCCTTGTTTTCCCTGCTGTGCTATGACACTCTTATTATCCTATTTTTAAGAACACAGGAAAGAAACCCTCTCAACTATTACTACTGCATTCATTTGGAATTTATCTGCCTATTTCACAAATCACTTCTTACAGAGATTTTTGGTTGGGGTCACGTGATATGAGTTTATGAAGAAAGACATTAATACAAAATTATGATAGCACCACAAGTTACACGATGGAGGTAGGAGCCAAAGATAAGATGTGACTAAGTAACCTGCACACCATATGTTCATTCTTATTAACTACTGCACTTGGGAATTCTGGCTCTTATAAAAAGTTTATTTCCCTTGTGTGGCTAAGCAGAATAACAGACCTAAGAAAACTGATGACAAATACATGAATAGTGTAAGGGAAACCATCAACAAAAATGTGACTTAAGATAAATAAGCTTGATTGTGACAGTTACAAAATAAAAGCAGTATTCACCAATTACACATACAAAGGCAGCTATTTCAAGCCCTAGTACTCCCAGTCCCTCCCTACAGTGAAAGCAGAAGGGTGCCGAGGTCATAATGATTATTTAAATACACAACCTAAGAATCAAGAAAGACTCAACAAATCAAAATGTCACACTGCAGTCCCTTAGTGAGGTGACTTTCAACTTGGGGAATGAAGGGCGGTCTCCTGCACTTATTTTAATTTAGTCAATTCAGTATCAAGAAAGTTAAAAGATTTTGTCCCCAAAATGGAGCTCAGCAATGCCTTTAGTTGTGTCATACAGCTGTATCCTTGCCCCGGAGCTTCAACTGCTTAACTTCCAGCAAAAGTTGTTTTCTGGTTGCAATTAACATTGTAAGGCAAGCTCAGCCCTGTCTTCCATAGCCTTGAGGCTGCTGAGTAAATCTAGAATCACGGAACCTACATTTTGATGCTGGAAAAACAGGAAGAAAGTGGTTCTGCACAAGGAAAATGGGCAAGAAGCACATCTAGATTTAAGAAAAACAAACTGATATGGTAGCCCGGGATTTTTTAACTTCTTTATATAGAATCTACTGAATGGGGCGCACCTTTCAGGGGAGGTCACAGGGACATGCACTTAAACCATGATGGGAGGACGAATAAAATAAAATCATCCTTAACAACAATAGCTATCACTTCTTAAGCCCCTAGTATATGTGCCAAGTTCAACGCTAAAGCCCTTTACAAATATTTCCAATCCTCAATCATATTAATATCCTCATTTTATACAAGCGGAAACTAAGATTCAGAGAATTCAGACAGTTATTTTGTAACTGTCACACTAATTAGTGAGGATACTAGTATTGAAACCCAGATTTGCCTGACTGTAAATTCCATGCCCTAAAAGTAATTTGTTAAACACTATTACCCTCGAGAGATCTAATCAAATTACAGATTTTACACGGAAAGATCCCTAATCACAGAAAAAAGATTTGACCAAAGTTATAAAGTAACTCAGCCAGTCAGAAATGTTTCAGATTTCAGGACACCTACCTAGACACTACCAGCCCTAGGACCTGTGCTGCCTCCTGTAATTCCTTCCAGAGGAGTTTCATACTGCAAATGAGACAGACACTGTCCTAAAGCATAATTAAACAAATTCCCTCAGTCTTGCATCTGACATCATCTCTCACGTATACCTAGGGAATTAGAATGAAACAGTTATCTGCTGTATACCTTAATCATAAGACTATTACAACAAAACTTAGGCTGGATCCAGAGTTCCAATTCAGCCAGGCGTTACACAGTGAAACCACTGCAGACTTCTCATCACTTGACTGCTGTTCTGACAAAGCAATTAAAAATCATTCACAACAATTAAAAAATAAGTCACTGTGTTCATATAATGCCTTAGAAATTAGAGCCATAAATCCCTTTTTTATGATCCATACCTCTGTCTTTTCCAACATTTTCCCCTTTATTCCTGGGCTGATTTAGCTTTATGAGAGAAGAGATACACCACGGATGGCCAGTGTAAGGGTAATACTGGAGTATCACACATCTAGGCTCACTTCTTGGTGTTCTGAGACTACTGGCTCTTCAAAACTATGTCTGAAAGAAGCTGACGAACGAGACAGGCAGCCTCGCAATGACTGCCTTTCTCTGAAGTGGAAGCATTCTTCCTAACACTTCAAGATCATAATAAAGGAACCAATGAAACAATCATTCTCTTCACACATAGTCGAAAAACCTGGTGGCCAACTACTAAGCAGTGGGGACGAATATCTGAAAAGAGTGAAGAGACTCTCTCCATTACCCTTCTACATTCAGAGAAGATGCAAGGATACTGCAGTATCTGGAATGAAGGGCACAGCCTCAGTACTGCTCTACGGAAGCGGCTGGCCACAGAAAGGCAGAAAGTCATCATCTGTACAGAAACCAGACGACTGAGGATTTCAATGCGAGGTTAACTACTGCTTACTCGTTCTCCAAATAGAAAAGATGTTTCCACCCTTATTGCTGGGTGAACTCTCAAAAGCCCTAAGGTGCTTCTAGACCATCGGGGTCTCCTCCCTGAATAGTCTGGAATATAACACAGGGGAGTGTGCTGGATGCGGGGGCGAAGGGTAGTATTAGGTGCCTCTCCTCCCCTGCCTATTCCAAGTAGTAGCGGAGAGCGCTACCTCCATGTTATTCACAGCGAAGTACGGCCGTGCCACCTGGAGTCTTCGCTCCCCAGCACTGGGCGCAGGTGGGGGCATCTCTAGAGAGTGGATTTGAGGGCGAAAGAGCTCTCCCGGCTAGTACGATCGGAAGAGAGGGCGTGGAGGGTGGTGCTGCCTTGCCGCGAGGATCTGCGGTTCCCCTCCCTCCTCCCTCTCTCCGCGTGAGGCAGCCCGGCCCCAATACCTTCTTGACCGTGCGCGGCGCCTCGGTGACGGTGCCGTCGGGGCTAACCAGGGCCTCGCCGCCGTCGCGGTGCCGCTGGTGCTGGTGATGAGGGTCGCTCCGCTTCATGGCCGACGCCTGAGGCACTTTCCCGGCGGCAGGGCTGAGAGCGGCGGCGGGCCCCGAGCCCGGGCCAGGGGCCGGGGGCCGCTCCGCGGGGGGAGCTGGAGCCTCGGGGTCCCCGCCGCCTGCTGGGGGGGTCATGGCGCTCACAGCCGCGGCGCTCAGTCCCAGTTGCGGCTCCGCCTCGGAGGGGCTCAGGTCCTTCAGCTCCACCTCAGGCACCTTCGCGGCAGCCGCTGCTGACACGACCTGCACCGACATCACCGCCTCCACTGCAACAGCCGGCTCCGACTCCAGCTCCGGCTCCAGCTCGGCCCCGCCTCCCGCCTCCCTTCCCCTGCCCTCCCCCATTCCCCCACTCCTCCCCTCCATCGCCTCCGTTCCCACCCCCTTCCTCCGCCCGCCCGCCGGCCAGCCCAGGCCTCCCCCGCCCCACCCCGCCCGGCCCCGCCCCGCCCCGACCTGGATCGGCTCGCGCGCGAGGCGCCACGGAACCTGTAGTGCGCTTGCTCCGGGCAGCACGCGGCCAGAAGACCGTGGGACCTCAGCCCCCGACCTACACTGCGAGGCGGCGGGGGCGGGGCCCGCGATGTCTCCTGGGAGTCGTAGTCCCAGTCGCCCTGTCTCTGGCGAGTGGGATTCTGTTAAGGGAGATGGAGCTCTAGCACTCGCGACTAACGGAAAGGAAAGGAGTGAGATTAGGTGACAAGACGTAGAGGATGAGGAAGAAAGTCTCTTCAGGAGTTCCGGCTTCCGGGAAAGGAAAGCCAGGAACCCTAGGGTTGGAAAGGTGGGGGAGGAATGACTCCCTACCCTGACAGCATGAATTTCCTCTGTGAACGTCTGTGATCACGTGACCAGGCATTTAAAGGAAAAGCG